AGACAGACAGACAGACAGACAGACAGACAGACAGACAGACAGACAGACAGACAGACAGACAGACAGACAGACAAGGTGGATGGATGTTAGATACAATTTTGGTTTTCACTGTTGACCCCTTTGTATTGCTTTACATCATTTCTGCTAAATTGCACTTTTTAAACATTTAAGTTTACTTACTGGTTTTGTAACAGAAAAATTGTCAGTAAGCCCATTTATTAAGTAATCTGTTTCAGAGATACATTTTTTAATCTCTGCAAAGAAAATAAGCTATTTATTTTTCTTGTGTAAAGATATTTTTCTTACCAGTAAGACTGTACAGAGAATGCCATGCACACCAGCTAAAGTTGACCCCAAGAGACCATCATAGGGACATCTTGAAAGAATGAAGTACATTTATGACAAATTGATCCTGCTTCAATTTATAATTCTATATAGAAATGGTACATTTATTATTATATTCTGCTTTTGAAAATATATCAATGTGTTATTTTTACAGGACAGAAAATGTCAAGGAGAATGTTTTGGCAGTTCTTCTAGTAATCCTTGTTTCTTTTCTTGGCTTTGTAATCATGAACCAAGGTTTTTGTAAAGACATTTGGGTGCTCCTGTTCTGTCTTATCATGGCAAGCTGTCAATACTCTCTTCTAAAGGTAATACCCCTCACATTCTAGGCATAAATTGTTTCAACTGTTACACTCAAAACGATGTTATAGGGCTTGCACACCAGAACAACTAGACACAAGGACAGTTCCCCCCCGCATGCCATCACTCTGCTTAATAACTAATTCTCACAACACTGTCAAACTATTTACTAAGACTGTATTACTATTCTTCTTCTCATCCTTCCTATTACCAATTTCTTTTTCTACTTGTGACTATAATCTTGTTGCTTGTATCTTTACTATTTATATTATTTTATTTAGTTTCCTAGTATGATTTATGTTGATTGCTTATTTAGTATCTTATGACTCTCCCTAAGTGTTGCATCCTATGATTCATGATGAATGTATTTATGATGACTGTGATCATGATTTATCATATCTTTTATATACACAGAGCTTATGCACCAAAGAAAAATTTCTTGTATGTCCAATCATACTTGGCCAATAAAGAATTCAATTCAATTCTAGTCTAGTCTAGTCTATTTATATTGTCTAAATGTATTTTTTATTATGTATTTTATTTTTTGGGTTTTACTGTCAACTACCTAGAGATGTATTAGCACAGGAAGCTGTACATAGAGAGATAGAAAGACAGTCAGATGGATAGATGAGAAATCCATTATTTCTATTTGGGATTTTGTGATAACAAATCCAATAGCTAATCCAATGCGCTTTGGTCGCATTGACCGATGATCTCTGGAGAGCCAGAGATGGAGGCCATGCGTCCATCCTGGTTCTCCTTGACCTCTCAGCGGCTTTCGATAGACCATGGTATCCTTCTGCGATGACTGCGGGAGGTGGGGGGGGGGGGCACTGTTCTACAGTGGTTCTCCTCCTACCTCTCAGACAGGTCGCAGTCGGTGTTGGTGGGGGGGGGGGGCACTGTTCTACAGTGGTTCTCCTCCTACCTCTCAGACAGGTCGCAGTCGG